GCCATTCTGGTGAGTTACCCAGTTCTCCTGGGTTTCTCCCACGTAGACGTGTTATAAAGCTTTGTTTGATTTTCTCCTGTCATTCTGTCTCATGTCAATTTAATTTGTAGACCAGCCAGAAGGACCCAGAGGGTAGAGGAATTCTCTTCCTCTCCTCCAGCTGAGTCTCTGGAATCAGACTGTCTGGGATCAAATCCCAGCTCTGTCTCTTACTGGCTGCATGACCTTGGGCTGTTAACTAGCTTTAGCTTTTGTTTCTTCACTGTGAAAATAAAAGAGGGATTAGTCCTGGTATTTCCTTTAGAAGCTTCTTGTGTGGATCAAGTGAGGTAAATAAAGGATGTGAAGCACTTGGCCTTGAAGTCTCACCCAGGACATCTTAGCCAGGATTTACGTTGTTGCTACTGAGTCAGGTTTGCAGGAAATGGGAACAAGCCACAAGTTTTAATTCCTGCAATTTGGATTAAATATTTTTTAACCTACATTTTTGGATACTAGAAATAACCATTGTATTCATACACAGATTTGGGGGCACTTAATGACTGGAATTCTATTTTTCTCCTTTGCATACAAATGTTGATTTTTCTCTTCACTCTCTCAATGACATTGCATTTCAGACGGCAATGGAATTATCCATTCATGATTTGGGAATACAGAGGCTATGAGGAGCAGCTGATCAATCAAGCTCTGTTATTGAGTTTGGGGAGGATGGGGGCGTTTTGTGGGGCTGCTAGCCAAGCTTAGGGGAGAGAATGGTCCTAGTACCCTCGTCCGCATTCACTGCTAAGTCCATTTGATAAACCTCAACTCCTCCATAAACTCAGTTGCCACTCAGGTGAAGACGTTTCCTGACAGACAAACTGTCAGAGGAAGCGGAAGCTGCAGGCTTCCCTGCTCCCCGTAGTCTCTGAGTCCTCCTGAAGAAGGCTCTCCCCTCACTGAGTTTCCAGTCAGGCCTCCCATCCAGCGAGAAAGATCCTGAAGGAATGAGAATGGCTTTTCAGCTCCTTTTGGGTGACATCTTGCACAAAAGGGATGGCCTTCTTTTAACCTCCAGAGACATTTTGGAAGAGGTCAGAGCCACGTGAGTTGAGCCTGGACATTTGTCATTAGTTAAAATGACCTAACTTTCTCTCTCAAGGGGCCGCTTAGGAGGCTGATTTCTTCCCAAAGCTTTCTGAAGCAGCTTCCAGCTTTCCTGAACTCTGACCTCCTCTTTAAATCACCGCCAAGGACAGTGACACGCTCTGGCCTATGTTTAGCCTGCTGCAAAGTAACCTCTATCCCAGCCACCTGCCCTGATTGGCCCGCTCAGCTCTGCTCTGTGGCCCACACTCACCACCTCTCTGACCATGCCCTGGGCTGGCTGCCCGGCTTCCAGGCCAAGGGCCCAGCAGATACCCTCCCTCACAGCCCCGCCACTGCTTTCTCAGCTGCCAGGACTCCAAACTTCCTGGCATGTCTGTGCCAAGAGGGCTTTGGCTCAATCCAGCCTGGCATTGTTCATGCTTAGATAATGACCTTGCGCATGCTTGCTGTTCTCCACCCCAAGAAAAATCTGGCCCGTGACTGCCAAGGAGGATGCAGGCCTGAGCACCTGGGCTGGCTGGGGCTACAGATCGCCATGTGGTTTAAGTCCCTCTGCTGGGCCATCCCGGGTGCTCATCATATGCTAGTGGCTCATGTTGGATCAGAAACATGAGAAAGTTTCCCGTGCTTTTTAGACAAATAGCAGCAACTGCTTTTCTTCCTGTGTCACTTTTCATTTTTAAATTTATTTGGTACTTTTGTACCAAACCAGAATTGTAGCTGGATTCTCATTACTTCCAAAAGACCTGCGTTACCCCTCTCTTGATGCAGCTTCTAATTATATTCTAGATGTAGAGTAACGAGAACTGTAGCCTCTCTGTTTTTTCAGTTACTTTGAAAAAGGAGACATGAGCCTGGCCTTGCTAACACAGGCAGTGGGTGGAGGTCAGCCTTCCTTAAAGTCCATCCCGCGTGCAAAGCCAAGAACGACTTCCAGTCTGTTTTAGCTTTAAGTTGAGTCAGAGCCCTTCCTTCTCTAGAACGCTGATGGAGCTCATAGGCAAGTCTGCCACATGTCTCAGCTGTGACAACGCTGCCAGTGTGAGGTTTTCTGATGACACTCACTTGCTTTCTTGGCTGATGGTGAGAACACTCCTGGGCGCTTGCCTGCAGCTCGGTGGCCACTGTGGCAGGTGAGCAGAGTCACTGCAGGATGATTTTGGATGTCGAGGGGCATTTATGCATGTGGACTTTCCTTCAGGGCTTGTGGGTTGAAGTGATCCCACTTCAGGTCAGTATTTTGGGGAAGAAGAAACGAGCCATCTGGCAGTGAGCTCTGTAGCAGGGAGTGAATATTACATGGAGGAAGATGAAAGTCAAGGGGGTAAAATGTAGAGGAAAAGATAGAGAAATACTCCTTTTTAATGAGTTTTGACTCTACGCCAGGTACTCTACGGAGCGCTTGGCATGGACTGTGTCTCGTTTCATCCTGAGATGTAAGGACTGTCTCCCTACTTAACACAGAAATATTAAGCAACTTGACAGCGGTCTCCAGCTGGTAAGTGAGAGAGGTGAGGTGGGATTCAAAGCTCATGTTGTTAACCACACGACACTGTGGGAAGGACAACCTTTTTTAGCCATCTCTAAAGCAAAATCCAAAATAGTTAAAGTTGGAAGAAATTTTGGGGACCAACTACCCCAACTCCTCTATTAGACAGATGAGAAAAGAGACTCGAAGAGGGAAAGTGCAGTGCTTGGTCAGGATAATTTCTTATTAGAGCTGAGCTGAGCACAACTCTCCAGTTGCCTGAATCCCTATAGAATAGTCTTGGGATAATGGGCTCCAGGATTTCATAGCTGTTGAACTTGTTTTTCTCTGGAAAAAAGCCCCCCTCCCCGCTTCCCCTGGGGTAGACTCTGTTGCAGAGCAATATTTTTCATATTGGCTCAAATAGCTTGTGCCTGGGAGATGCGCATCACGCCCACTTTTAAGATAAGAGGAAATTAGAACTGGGACATGAGACTCTTTTTCATCAAGTGCAAAGAAGCTGCTGACTCATTGTGTCAGCCCACTGTTCTGAAACTTCTCTTTCCGAGGTCACCAATGGTTTCATAATTATTAAACTCAAAGAATGTTTCCCTTGCCTTATTTTACATACGACACGATATTATTCGTCAATAATAAGCAGAGTTTCGTGAAACTCTCTCCTCCTCCTGCCCCTCTGCTAGATTTTCCTTGTTTGTTCTTCCATTCACCTTCATTCTTCTTCCTGAGATGCTATTTTTCTGCCTGTCCCTTAAATTTAACTGTTCTGTTGAATTCTGACCTCAGCTCTCTGCTCCTCCCTTTTTATAAGCTGTTCCTGGTCATCTTGTTTAAATGAATCAGAAGTCTTCCCAAGACCATAATAAATGCTCCTCTTATCCTTTTTCACTTTACAACTTTACCTGGCTCCAAAGTTCTTGGAGACATCTATAGTCAGTGAATAGAAATGGAGAAAAGTAAAGCTGGACCTCTACATCCAGGGGCAAGTTCAGAAAAATGAGACATGGGGCCACTTAGGGTCATCTATTTTGATGAAAACCAAGTAGAATCTAACTTACATGCTTGGGATGAAGAGGCTTTAGGAAGAAACCTGTCCTGGGTAACCTGGGCAAGATATATTGATAAAGTGAAATTTGCTCACGACATTCAGCAGAAGTCAGTGGACTTGATATTTAACTAATAAAAACCAATGGTAAAATAATGTGTGATTTTGAGAACTGTAACTCAAGGGGAGGATTTGGAAGGGGCTGAGTTCTAGTTGGGGTTGGGGAGCCAGTGTTTTATTTCCAAATCTGTGACTCCTTCATGGCCCCTGACTGACATGGCCTCTTAACAGGTCAGTCTCACTTCTAAAGCTAATTAACTGATGCTATTGTTTTGTATTTTGCCCACATTGAACCAAAGGAGTGGATACCTAATTTTACCTTTCTTTTTGTAAATTTCTAATATTCTTAAAGCATCCCACCATAATTATGAAAGACACTGTGGAGACTCTGGCTCTTGTTAAAATTAGCTGACCCTGGGTGAGGCTCTACCGTAGCGTGGCAGGTGTTATGACCGTGAACAGCAACTGGGTCACATCTGGTTTTGCTTGGTCTGAGACTGCTGCAGGTGACTGACTTGATTAATTAACCCCAAGAAACTCAGAGAAGGGGGGGGTCTAAAGTGGTACACAGCCACAATGTCCTTAAAACTTTCTTTCCTTTCATTTAACAGAGGAAAAATGGCTACTTTCCTAAACTATTAGAATTCTGGACATGGAAACAGGTATTGATTCGAAGTAATGTTAGGTTCAGCTGGAATATGTCAAAGCAAAGACTAGACTGTGAGGATGGATCCACTTGCACAGGATGCTTAACTTTACTCTGTTTAAATTTCTTCTCAGTGTCGATCTCTTTCCCATGTAGAAAGATACTACATAAGAAGAAGTCTAAATCTTTCTCTGTTTAGAACCTTGAGGATAAGCAGAGAAAAGAATGGATTTCTACTTATTTCAAGCAAACCTGAACTTATGGAGCCCATCTTCTCTTCCTTATTCCTTCCTCCCTCCTTTCCTCCCTCCCTCCAACTCTTCCTTCCTTTCACACAATTACAAGTGCCCTAAATCAAGAACGTTATAATAGTTCCAAATCCATAAACCTAATATTCCATAGATCAGAGGCCTCAGAGATGTCTCTGGCTACCTCTGATTTTGTAGATGAGGACTGTGAACGCCAGAGACTGGAGAGTGGAACCAGATTTGGGTCTCTTCCTTGTTCCATTTTGTCTTGGAGAAGACTACAAGAGGTGCAGATATTAACCTTTGGAAAGATCTCTATCAAAACCCTCCACAGGCTGCTTTATTTATTTTTTTATTTTTATTTTTTTCCATTGTGAAGGTTATTAAAACAACAGAGGTAAGTCATGACTGCCTTCCATTACTCACCAACAAACAGCTGGCTGTAGAGTTCCAGGCGGGTGTGACCTTCTGTTGGGGCTTTGCGGATCTGCTGTGGCAGCCGGTCCACCTGTAGGCTGGCCTGCTTGACATTCCTTTCTGCGGTGACCCGGTGCCACTGGTCGTCATTGAGAGGGGAGGGTGACCTCACCACAATCTCCACTGGCCCATTTCCGACATCAAATGAAAAGGACACTTCTGTGGCAGCTGGAGGAGCAGAAAGCATGAAAAGCACATGAGTATTTTCCTCCCAGATACCAAAGAGCAGTAAATTCTAGAAATAAAACACAGCAGGGAGAGAAAAATAATCTAAGCCTGTCACTCGCTACAAAGGTGTAGGGCAAAATCATTTGAGGAAGGACAAAACATCAATCCATTATCAACCATTAACAAGCAAGGGGAGGAAAATAAACTTGTATTGGGGGCCAATCATACATTCACTTTCTACTTAATCTTTAGAAGCCCGTGGAGAAGTCACTATCATTGACTCCAGATAAGGAAAATGAAACTTGGAAAAGTTAAGCACATGTTGATGTCTTAGATTTAGTGAGTAGTGGAGTCAGGATCTGAACTCAGGCTTGTCAGATTTCAGAGCCTGGGATCTTTTGCTTCTACACACAACGTAACTTGTCAATTACTCCTAGGGTAGTGAATTTTACCTGGAGAGCTTTGTGAAAAACCCATGTCCAGCTCTATCCCCAGAGACACTAGCTCAGTTGGTCTGGGTCAGGCATTGGTATTCTTAAAAACTCCCTGAAAAATGTTTATGCATAACTAGAGTCAAGAGCTCTTGCTTTGGGGGAATTTACAAAACTTTATTTCATTAATCTAATCACCGTGGCTCCTACCGTCAGTTAGGGAGCAATGAATTGTTGAGGCAATGAAGGTGACCTGCATCTTTTTCAGATAACTCATGACTGTTTAAAAGGTCGCTCAAGATTCCTGCAGCTCAAGATTCACCCCTTTCTGGAATCATTTATTGCGCACCTTGGTTATACCCCATCTGGGATGCCGGATCCTTCTCATAACCTACCCTCCAGCACTGACCACAAATCATTCTTTTTTCCTGGATCTGTTCCAAATCAACCCCCTTCTGTAACAAATCACCTTGCATCAATGGAAAACTCGAACAGGTGGTTGCTTTGGTAGCTTCAGTTGTAAGCACTTTTCTTACTTCACATCTTAGGTTTTAAGTTCCTCGGTGACCACCCGGTGCTTTACAAACACATATTTTAAATGTATATTTTTCTTGCAATTGGTAGGAGAGGCACTTTAACGCTGAAGCAGCACACACGTCCCCACTCCCTCAGGCTCAGTGAATTCCTTTCCACATTAAAGAGGTGGCACACCAGTGGATTTCCTAACTTTGCTTACAAAGAGATTCAGCCCCTCTATCTATCAATAAGCCTTCTGCTTAATCTCTAAGCAGCTAAATTTAAATATCTGTCATTTTTTTCCCTGGGCTAATGGAAAATTCAGCTTCTTTGGATTGGTACCATTTTGCGATGATGTCGCAAGCAATCAAACTTCTAATTTTAAAACAGCAGTGGGCCAGATTCTCTCAGGTCCTAGACCGTTTCCTGCCTCTGAGTCAGGCCCCTCTGAAAGCTGCATTAACTTTATTGAGCTACAGGGATATTAGACGCAAGCTCAATTTAATCAACCTAATTGTACCAAGGAGTTTTGATCTTTTATGTCATTAGAAAGAGAACTTTAATTTTAACACCTGTGGTGATTCCATAAGCGCTCCAGTAAAATATCTCCTCTGAGTTAGGAGCACCTGCCTCCAGGGCTCATTGTGACTCGATGGAGGCCGGTGACCTTCATCAAGGTTTCTGTGGAAGTACGATCAGAATGACTCAGACTGATCTTTCCCTGTATTTCTGGCATAGTCAATGGGGAAGAAAATAGCCTCCACTTTACGATTGGATCTACACTGTTCTTGTAGAGCTATGTTTTAGCAGATGCATTTTTCAATGTAAGTTGTCAGAATAGCATGAGAACAAGGGTTCCTGAGCTAAGTAGGAAAGATTGTTTCGTTTTAAAGGTGTCAACAGCCATCAGGGAAATACAATTTAGGGATAAATTGAGGTTAACCCTAAGGTTTGACTCAGAGGGTAAATGCTGCTCTAATTTCCTCTACTCCTCTCTTCTTGCTCTGATGAATTCTTGTCCAGGTCTTTAAATTGTCACCATTTGGAAAACCCTGAGTATCGGCAATTAACTAGGAAATATCCACACTTTTTTCTGTGCTTGTCACACCAGATCCCCCATTTCTTCCTCTAGAGCATGGTCTTCTTAATATCAACATTTCACTCTAGAGAAGGAAAGAAAGTCTCCAGGATGCTCCTGTAGCTGAGTCCTCTCACCCTGATTGGTGCAGTAAGAGGGACTCAAGGTCAAGAGCCTCCAAGAGAAGAATCTTCCTTAAAGAGCCTCTATTCAGGCTCTGTTGAAAAAAAGACTCACAATTTTAGCACACCCCACTTCCCTTCTATTGCTTCCTGAGGAAGGAGGCTGCAGTGTCTAGTGTGAGAGTGAAGGAAAGGGTTCCTTTTTCTCAGTCATTCAATGTCAGCTTCCCCGACATTGCTAAGGGATGCCTTGGAGAAAGTTCAGTTTGTGGCTGATTGCTCTTGGTCTTCTGGGTGACAGGCGCTGACATTTTAAAAGAGATAATTACAGAGAGAGTCAGCGAGCAAATAAAAGGGAGGCAGCATAAAAGAAACTAGAGCCAATGACACTGTTCTTACTTAATGTGTGTCTCCAGTTGGAGACTGAAGCGTTGCCCTGTTTCCGCCTATGGAAAAGGAATTTCTTACATACTGAAACTATTCTTATTTCCAGCAATAAGTGCTTGAGAATTGGATGTATCTAGCAAGGCTCATTGGAACGAACACGGTAGCAAACACCACTGGTTGCTTTTCTGTTAGTGTCAAGAACTGGGAAGCACCTGGGATTTTACCCAACTTGCAAACTAACAAGTTAGCCTGCTGCAGTTTCATAGACGCTAGCAGAAGACAGGAGACTCCTGGGTCAGAGACAAAGGACTCTATTATTCACAGCTCAGCAGGCAGCATGAGCTTCATATCCACATTGGTTTCTCTTGTCCCCCGAGTCCCCTGGGGGCCATGTGGAGCAGCCCAGATGGATGCTGCCTATGTAGTGAGTTTGTGTCGCAGCCAAGGAACCCTAAATTTAGGAAACTCTAGTCTTTTAAAGGTGCTGCTAGCAGACCTGCCCAACTTTTGCCCTGGGGAGACATTAGGTTTATTATCTTGGCCAGGAAACAAATCTACCCTGTGTTCTGGAGGAAGACACTATCAATATCTTCCAAAGCTGTTTGCTATACATACAACCTTAAAAAGATATGAACAAAGTTGTCAATGCCTCTTGCTCAGAAGATAAGCAGAAATGGGAGAGACTGTTTTCCCACAACAATTAGCCACTCTCTCCCTGCCCTTCCTTTTCCTTGTGAGCTGACCCAATTTTGCCTAAGAATCTATGTGCTTCCATATGATCTTAAGCTTCAGGCAAGAACGGTCCTACCTCAGGCTCAGAGGGTGAATCTGGATTTGTCTAAGTCAAACATGACAAATCCGTGCTTTTTGGGAGTAACCCACTTAAGATGAGACCTATCATTTCCTCCTGGCCAATAAAACACAAGGGGGAGTCTCTAGGGGCCCTTTGGGACAAATTTATTAGCTCAGAAGAGAAGAGACAGTCAGTCCCTTTTCTGTTCCTTGATCTTGGGTGGAGGTTGTGGTTCCTAATGTTGCTGGAGCCATCTTGCAAACATCAGACACACTGAGGAGAACAGGGAGGGCAATGGGATGAACCTGGGTCTTTGGTGACACTGTTCAGCCCCTAAATTATTACCAGAGACGCCTCAAGACTTCTTAAGTGAGACATCCATTATTATTTAAGCCAATTTTATTGTGGCAGAAAGCATCTTAACTGATGTAGGGAATGGTTTGGGAATCAGCATATCCGAGTTCTAGTCTTGACTTCGCCTTTTCACCTTTTTGGGTCTCAGTTTACTGGTGTCTGAAATGAGGATTACATCTATAGTTTTACAAGAGTTTCTCTGTCCAAAAATGTGTTTGAGAACTCTGAACTAGATCTCTAAGGTCCCTTCAAATGCCAACATTCTATCATCAATATCCAAGAGATTCTAAGAGAAATAATAAATTGAACTACAGCTAGTCTTAATGGTAATTTTAGATATTGAATCATTACAGGGAGAAAAGAGAGATATTGAAAGAGAAATGTATAAGGTGGCACATTGGCATCAGAAATGAGTATATGGCAGAAATTACCTTTGAATAAATTTGGATCACGACTTTGAGTGACAAAACAATGAATGGGTCAAAACCATGGACAGCTCTTAGTATCCTCCCTCCTGCTACTTCAAGTGTGATTCCAGCAGGTGGCACTATTCACTCTGATTCTAACTCATCACAAGTTTTCTCAAATCACTCAGGGCTTAACGTATTGAATGAGAAATTTAACAACTGACCAGAATAGTAGACTTTTTGGCTCTGAGTTCTCCCAGCAGGTGAAGTAATATTTAGACATTTGACTCAAAGTGTCAGTTGGAAACAGCAGAAAAAATTTGGTCATTCAATATAGAATAGGTAAAGAGAAGAGACAAGGAAAGGTACACATAGTGAGCATGCTGAGAGGACCAGCTAACACCGTTACAATTTTGATAATGATTTGTTTCTTCCATTCTAAAATGAAGTTCAAGGATTCATAGCTTCCAAAGGGCCATTCTGTGTAAAATCTCATTTGATCCATACAACAACACTGGTAATAGGCAGAGCAGATATTTTAGCCCCACTCTACAGTGGAAAATGTTACAAATATATATTTTTTCTTTTCTATGAAGGAAGTGTCCATCAGGAGACAAAAGGATGCATGCACCATGAGAGACTTATAGGAAGAGGCAGGTAGGCTGAGAATGAGGTCACTGTGGGAATCAGAGAGATGAGGAAAAGGAGGAAGAGGGAAAGTGGATACCTGTTTGTATCTCAGGCCAAGTGCTCCACCTGTACACCGGATGCCATCTACCCCTTTTTATTTGCTCCAGGACATCACTCCAGCAATTCTCCCCTCTCTTCTACAGCATCAATAATTTGTCTTCTACTGGATCATTCCATGTGAACATGTTGCCATGCATCTATTCTTAACAACCACCATCACTA